ACACACACACACACACACACACACACACACACACACACACACACACACACACACACACACGGGGACAAATGTGCCTCAACATAAATGCATAAACACATGCATACATACACAAAAATATGAAACTCACACAAATAAACATCAGCATTTGGCCTTTACTCCGAGATGCAAGATGAGCATTATTCCTGGTGACTGAGGTGATGGAAATGCATTTTCAGCAGTTTACTGTGTATGCTTCTTAGAACTGCACACAATGTCACACACACGCGTGCACACAAACCACGAGACTTGACCATCACTTTGGAGTTCTGGGGGTTTTGGGCCACGGTCCAGGACACACTCAGAACAGAGGAACACAGGAAATGACATTTCCTACGTTTTGCAGGACACACAAGAGAAAGAGAGTGAGAGAGACAGCCACAGGGAGAGGGAGGCAGAGAGTACTGGGAGAGAGTGGGAGTTTCTAAGTGGGAACAGAGCCTTTACTGTTTCATATTACACAGAAAAGAGGAGAAAGAGGAGAAGAGTTAATGGTGGGTAAGGGCTCTGGTGGGTTGTGCAGTCAGGCTCTGTTTTGAATGTAGCTGCTTGTGTAAGTTGCTGTGCAGTTGTCTGGGTTTATGGATTCACTGACTGTGGAAAATGTACTTCTCTGTAGTGATCCTTGTCCTGACTAAGGCTCTGGTCACAGGTAAGTGTGCCTTCTTTACCGCAGCATACAGCAATGAGAAAGTGAGCAAGCAGGCGTAAAAGAGGCAATATGTGTTTGAGTTGTAACTTGAGCTGTCATCACACACCACCGTCAAAGTTTCAGTGCATTATGGACCTTTGGTAAGAAAATAATAGAAAGCATACAACTACAGTTAGCATCTAGAGGTCATCATATCTACAATAATCACAATTTGCAAGTGCATTTGTTATTGTGTTAATAGTGTGGTGCAGAAAAGTTGTTTACAAAAAAAAAAAAGAGCAAAAAAAACAACCAGTTGTGGCGTTAGGGTGGTTTGTTGTCTGTGATCAGAGAAAACCTCAGTATAGTTTTTACATATAATTTGTGTCCTAAAAACTGCTGTGAAGCAGACTTACAACTCGTGTTTTATGTCCTATATATTTTTTCAGCTGTGCATAATGTCGTTTGAAGTACTTCAGCTGCTTTTGTTGCCACATTAAATAGTGTTAGACAAGCCCCAGAGAGCCTAAGGGAGATTCCCCAACAAACAAGACCAAAAAAAAAAAAAGAAAGAAAAGAAAAGAAAAAATTAAGCAAAAGCAGCATGGAAGACCAGATGGTCCCTGTTATCCTTCCATGTTTCTCCTTGCCTGTTCTGGGTTGTTCCATACCGAGGATGAATGTTTCCCACCTGTAGCTACTCTTTGCCTGTCTGGTCACACATATTGTGTCCAGACCCCTTTGTCTCTGCCCTGGCTCACAGCAGACTAAACCAAGAGCACATCCAAGAAAGTAAAGTCATACTTTAGCTGTTTCTTTCGCAGTGCTTTTACGCTTCCTTGCTAAAAGAGAGTGAATACACACACAATCATGGGAAGATGCAGAAATAGAACCAGTGATTGTTTGAAGCTGTGACAGTAGACAAACAAACTTTTAACTCGTTTATTACTAATTTCGAAAGAAGGATTGAGTCATATAAGCGTTCTGTGAGGCTTATGGTTTGATTTAATTTTATTCTGACACACATTTACCTAGATATCTTACTCGGAAAGTATTACACAGTAATAGAAGCAGACATTTTGGAAAAGGAACATACTGAGTAGATTGAAACTAAATGATATATTTACAAAATCGAATTAAAATGAAAGCTGTATACATTTGTGCATATATAACCAAAAGCGTTTGTGGGTTTTTTTGTCAACAGAGGTATGCCATGCTCTTAATGTGACAGTGACCCCTGGGCCTGTCGTCTTGGCAACAGAGAACGACAACCTGACACTGTCCTGTCTGGTATCTCAAAGGAAGAGGACCACGAGTGTCCTGATTCTTCACTGGTTCTTCTCTCCTCTAACCGCTCCTACTCCTGTGCCTCCTGCTTCCCTTCCACCCAACTCTCCTCCCGTACTCGAGCACCCGCAGTTTCTGATTGTAAAGATGGGCATAAGGAGAAGGAAGATGTATGGGAACTACACCTACCGTTTCCCACAACCAAAGTTTCATCTGCACGAGAAAACGGAGGGAGAGGTGTACCAGTTGCGGATTCTCAGCGTGACTGGGTCGGACCAGGGTTTTTACAGCTGTAAAGTTCAGGAGATCCGCAAACACAGAGACATATGGAGAATCACTTCCAATAGTACCAGCACCACACAGCTGACAGGTAAAAAGATGTATTCCCTCACATCTCTGTGCCATATTTCTTAAAATACAGACCCATGGACTCATCTGACTTATGAGGTGGATGCTGAGAATTGAGGACTTGAGACCCTTAGCCCACATTCGTTTTAGTAAAAATGTCGACCAAGTTATCTGGAAATAAAAACAACCAAATTAAGGAAGGGCCACGATTTTCTTCTACTAAGAAACAAAGATTGTGTAGAAATGTGTCCTCTAACTTAAACTTGCAATATTTGCAGACGGTCATGCCTATATGTTTGAGTGCGACCCCAGTCCTCTGGCATTTCCATCTCAAAACAATGAGCTCACACAGCCAAACCACGCTTAACAAAATCCCTGCCTGTGTGCGTGTAAGGAGTAAAAGGTAGGGTGTTGTTGAGCTGGCAGGGTTCAAAAACTCTGATGTCAGCATTTTGGGTTTACTTTTATGCAAGCCTCAGGAAAAAAAAATACTGGAGAGTTTAGTTGCAGCTTATTCAGTGTGTGCCAATGGTCTTGCAGAAATCAACAAACAAAACAAAGAGAAACCTGTTAAGAAATCATTTAAATCACATGAAGTATTAAATATTTCTTCAATATTTATTTTTATCTGTGCAACACACTGGACCGATCATCGGTGAGATGCACTGGGTGAAGGGGTTTACTAGAGATTTATGAGGCTTTGCCACACTTTGAGGAGGCCGTGTGTGACTCAGTTTACCTTTCAATAGTTTTACGCAAGAAAAGCGCAGAGGTTCGAGTCAGACAGAGCCTGACAACGCCCTGCCCTATATTCAGGGCAATGTCCCACTAAGGAAGCCACACAACCTCAGGCATCTCCGCCATGCATTGACCACAGAACCAGAAACAGAAGACCTGACATTATGAGGGTAAACAAAGAGGGAAAAAAATTATATTGAGGGAACCCCTTAGTCTGCAGATCTCAGTCTGCAGGGCATAGAGCAAAGACTACACCCTAAAGAGGTCAATGGACCACTTTCATTCACAAAACTCCAACCTCTTCTTTATATATAGTTCCCAGCTTCAGACCTTTAATAAGAAAGTTTGATTGCTTTGTGCTGATTTTCTAAACTGGTAAACTTTCTAGACACTGTGTTCAAGTTCACTGAGCTGCCAGTTTCAGTGGTTGGTAATTTGTTTTCCACATTTACCTTCATAGCTGAAAGACCTCAGATAAGCCTAAATCTGGACCTGATGGTGTAACAGGGGTATAGGGTATTTACATTTCACATAAACGTATCACTATTGGTATGATGTAGAAACATTTTTAGTGAGCGTTTACATTTAATAGCTCCCTTACAGAGAAGCTGGTGACCTCAGTGTGTTTGCTCTCATCAGATGTGCGGTTTAACTGGTGGTTAACCTCAGCCCAGATTCCAGCCAATTGTAACTGTCGCCTTGTCTGGTGAACAAGACTGGTAAAGTTTGCCTGCTTCACAAGTCTTTATCTTAGCTTAACAGTGCAAAGACATGATAGCCTGGCCCATCACACCTTTATTAGTCTTAAAAGAAAGTTATATTCATGGCAAAGATAGCATGTGGTAAGAGCATTTTTAAAAACAAGCTGTTATATTTGATGAAATGGAAAAATATTTGTGAAAAAAAAATCTTCCATTTCAAGAAGAACAAAAACATGATTATTTACTTTTTATACCTTTTTTCCATCCTAGAAATATTCCCTAACCCACAGTGTTGCACATTAATTATGTGTTACTAAAACAGAACAGTGAAGACACATTGACAATTTTGCATGTAGTTCAGTGGTCTGGAAACAGGCTAAAAGTCAGTTAGAGTTAATATCTTACAATATGCATCAACCTGTGTGGAAAAGTCATATTAAAATCTCATTATGGAGAGCAGAGACAGTCTTCACTCTCCTCAACCTCTCCCTAAATACCCCTGACCTGTACAAAATCAGTGACAGCTCCTTAGTTAATAAGGACAAAGAGAACACTGTTGATAGCTGATATGTGGAACAATGGGGAACCCCCAAACATGGTCCAAGAACAGCAACACAGCTGATATATATGTGTGTGTGTGTGTGTGTGTGTGTGTGTGTGTGTGTGTGTGTGTGTGTGTGTGTGTGTGTGTTAATGTTGTGTTTGGCTGATGGTGAAGCAGACTCTCCCTTTATGACAGTGGTTTGGATATTTCCAAGAACCACTGGGGTTTGTTGTACAGGGCCACAGCCCTCAGACATCAACAAATATAAAGATACTCAGTCTGGGCACAGTTTCCATCTTTTATGTACAGTTTCTGATGACATTTTAAACTGTCTGTTTCTACAGTGCACTTTACACCCGAGGATGGTAGAAGTGAAGGATTGTGGCTTTTGTTTGCAGGTACTGTTCTCAGCTCTATTCCTAATTCTGTCTCATTTACACATCTTG